TTCTTTTAAAAACCCCAAAGAGCTAGAGCTAAGATATTTAGCATGAAACATCTTCTAGTGAGTGTCTACCAAGTTTGTTCAAATAAGAGCCGTGGGGTCAAAATTGGCCACTCCCAGGGGGGGGGGGTCATTGTTTTTCCTTATATGTTTGTAGTAAAAAACTTTAAAAATCTTCATATAAAAATCCCAAAAGCTAGAACTTAGATATTTATCATGAAACATCTTCTAATGGGTGTCTACCAAGTTTCTTCAAATAAAAGCTCCTGATTTAAAATTGGCCTTGGCCCAGGGGTCTATATACAGGTGAGCAATTTCAGGGCCATCATGACCCTCTTGTTATTTTTAAAGTTTGTCCGGACTACTCATCTTATACCAATTATGCAATTTTAATGAAATTTTACAGGATTTATTGGTACCTCAAGTACTTGTGCATATATCACGGTTTTGTGGTTGAATGATTTTTGGTTGAGTTATGGCCCTTGAATAAAAAATGCGTATATCATCGGATACCACAGCTGATTTACATGTAATGAAGCCATTGGTAAAATGAAACAATTTGCGTTGATATACAGCAGCAGGTGCGTAAAATATTGACCAATTAAATCATGTTTAACAAACTTATATTTGTCAGTTGCGAAGGTAAATACTATAAGTAACAGTAAATTTACTATGCCTTTTGCTGGAAACAATTCACATTTTTATATGCCCGAAAGGGCATATTATGTTATACCCCCTGGCGTCCGTCCGTCCGTCCGTCTGTTAGCAATTTGGTTTCCGGAGCATAACTTAAGTTCCATTTGACCCACAATGTTCAAACTTCATAGGATGATTGTCCATATTGGGTAGAAGATCCCTATTGATTTTGGGGTCAAAAGGTCAAAGGTCAAGGTCACTATAACCTTGATACTGAAAACAGTTTCTGTCCGTTAGCAACTTGTCCGTTAGCAATTTGGTTTCCGGAGCATAACTTAAGTTCCATTTGGCCCACAATGTTCAAACTTCATAGGATGATTGTCCATATTAGGTAGAAGATCCCTATTGATTTTGGGGTCAAAAGGTCAAAGGTCAAGGTCACTATTACCTTGATACTGTTTTCCGTCCGTTAGCAATTTGGTTTCCGGAGCATAACTTAAGTTCCATTTGGCCCACAAAGTTCAAACTTCATAGGATGATTGTCCATGTTGGGTAGAAGACCCCTATTGATTTTGGGGTCAAAAGGTCAAAGGTCAAGGTCACTATTACCTTTAAACTGAAAACAGTTTCCGGAGCATAACTTAAGTTCCATTTGACCCACAATGTTCAAACTTCATAGGATGATTGTCCATATTGGGTACAAGACCCCTATTGATTTTGGGGTCGTCCGTCCTTCTGTTAGCAATTTGGTTTCCGGAGCATAACTTAAGTTCCATTTGACCCACAATGTTTAAACTTCATAGGATGATTGTCCATATTGGGAAGAAGATCCCTATTGATTTTAGGGTCAAAAGGTCAAAGGTCAAGGTCACTATAACCTTGATACTGAAAACAGTTTCTGTCCGTTAGCAATTTGTCCGTTAGCAATTTGGTTTCCGGAGCATAACTTAAGTTCCATTTGGCCCACAATGTTCAAACTTCATAGGATGATTGTCCATATTGGGTAGAAGACCCCTATTGATTTTGGGGTCAAAAGGTCAAGGTCACTATTACCTTGATACTGAAAAAAGTTTCCGTCCGTTAGCAATTTGTCCGTTAGCAATTTGGTTTCTGGAGCATAACTTAAGTTCCGTTTGGCCCACAATGTTCAAACTTCATAGGAGGATTGTCCATATTGGGTAGACGACCCCTATTGATTTTGGGGTCAAAAGGTCAAAGGTCAAGGTCACTATTACCTTAAAACTAAAAACAGTTTCCGGAGCATAACTTAAGTTCCATTTGACCCACAATGTTCAAACTTCATAGGATGATTGTCCATATTGGGTACAAAACCCCTATTGATTTTGGGGTCAAAAGGTCAAGGTCACTATTACCTTGATACTGAAAACAGTTTCCGTCCGTTAGCAATTTGTCTGTTAGCAATTTGGTTTCCGGAGCATAACTTAAGTTCCATTTGGCCCACAATGTTCAAACTTCATAGGATGATTGTCCATATTGGGTAGAAGACCCCTATTGATTTTGGGGTCAAATAGGCAAAGGTCAAGGTTACTTTTACCTTGATACTGAAAACAGTTTCCGAAGCATAACTTAAGTTCCATTTGACCAACAATGTTCAAACTTCATTGGATGATTTCCATATTGGGAGGAAGACCCCTATTGATTTTGGGGTCAAAAGGTCAAGGTCTCCTTAAAATTGAAAACAGTTTCTGGAGCATAACTGAAGTTCCATTTGTCCCACAATATTCAAACTCCTTAGGATGATTGTCCATATAAGGTAGGAGACCCCTATTGATTTTAGGGTCACAAGGTCAAAGGTTAAGGTCATTATTAATAACTTAAGTATTAATCAACCTACATCTGTAAAATTTTATAGGATGAACAGCTAATTCCCATGTCTTACAAATGCTTCATCCTTACTAAAAAAAAACACTTTCGGGCATATAATGCTCCGCCTAGCGGTGCTCTTGTTAATATTGAACTTTTCTCAGCTGATTTTAATTGGTTGCTGTTATTTTGTCTGTAATATCGAACATCATGTAGAAGAGAGTTTTGGTTGGTTTTAATTGCCTCATGAGATTGTGAGGCAACCATTGAAATAGCTGTCTTTGACACAACTGGATTTCGGCCAAAAATCCCATGGCTGATAAAAGTTAATGGTTTGACCGTGTGTATCTGACGATGGCTACACAGTAGCTGCAACATGCAAATGGCTATCATGAGGTGACACAGTGATCACTGATCACTATTTTTTGTACTGTAAGGTTTCTTTTATAGTCTTCAATGTCTTTAACTTCAGTACTATCAGTGTATATATTGAAACTTACTATGTTGATACTTTTTGATGAGATTTATCTGTGACATTCATTTTCAGGTCAAATGGTCAAGGTCACTGGTACCTGTAAAAGCAAAATATGAAATTGACCAATAAAGAGCATTTGACCTTAGCACTTTGTAGAGGCACCCTGTCAAAAGGTCATCTGTGATCTGTAACAGGAAAACTTAATGCTAGAAAACGGGTCTAAAAACATCAACATATTGTCAACAGTTATTAAATTTGCATACAAGTAAAATAATATGCAATTTCCATGAGATAATTGTGACCTAACAGTTGTTAAGTTTCACTTGAGACAGATATAAACACCCCTATTTTCATACTTGTTAACATATGGCGAGTAGGACTGCTTGATGCAGGTATAATTAGTCCCCTACCGGTTTAACCGGAGGGGACTTTAGGTTTACACTCCGTCCGTCTGTTCGTCCGTCTGCACGTCTGTCCGTCCGTCCGTCAGTCCGTCCGTCCACAAAACTGGATCCTGCGATAACACAAAAAGTACTAAAAATATTTTTATGAAACTTGATAAATGGATAGATGGCAGTATGGAGATTATGCACGTCTTTTTCTTTTGTTCCTATGTTGAAAATTCTGGTTGCTATGGCAACAAATAGTCTGAAAATATTGCAAATTTAACACATAAACTGGATCCAGTGATAACGCAAAAAGTACTGAAAATATTTTTATGAAACTTGAAATATGGGTAGATGGCAGTCTGGAGATTATGCACATCTTTTTCTTTTCTTCCTATGTTGAAAATTCTGGTTGCTATGGCAACAAATAGCCTGAATTTCAAGATTTCTGATTTAATTTTTCAGCTTTTTCACTATAAGTTCTTTATTTCTTAAGGTGTTTACTTCAAACTTTAAATATAAGTTTCTGGTCATCAACCACATCATATGTGACAAGGTTTACAACTCTAGCACAAAAATTATCAGTATTACCTCCCTTGAACTTAGAATTTTTATGAAAAAAAAATGTTGTCTTTTTTAAATAACTTCTTTATTTCCTAATGTATCTACTTCAAACTTCATATATATGTTTCTTATTATCACTCAACATTTTTGAGAAGGTTAAATACTCTAGCAAGACTATTTCCAGAATTATGTCCCCCTTGAACTTAGATTTTTTTGAGAAATTGATATTTTTTACTCCAACATCTTCATTCCTTATAGGATTTACTTTAAAATCCCACATCGTAAGGTTGTATAAACATAATTTCCTTACTAGGCAGGGAAACTTAACACATTACTGTGATATAGACAAACTTAGAACTCAAAAGATTTAAGTTCATTCATGTCATTCATTCACTGGTAAAATTGAATGGCCAATGGCCCATCAGAATGTTGCTGGGGTTCTAACCGGTAGGGGACTTATGGATTGCTTGCAGTACTAGTATGATAATTGCTTGTTTACTATATTATTATCAGTTTTAAACCGGATTAGGCCATCCTTAAAAAAATGTTTGTTTGCAGTAACCCGACCCAGAATTTTCAAGGTTGGTAGGTAGGTCGATTTTTTTTTTTTTTTTTTTTTTTTTTTATTATTGAACTGTACTCCCAAATAAACATGGAATTTCAAAATGCTGGACAATTTATGCTTTGATAATCTGGTAACAATTAATAAATTGATAAATGAATTCTAATTAAATAATACATGCATTTTATTTCTTCTTTTAACCTTTAAAAGAACAAAAACAAAGCACAAGGCATAATTTTCTGATTAAAAAAAAAATAAATTATTATCCAGACCATGAAAAAAACTTTTGAGTAGGGGCAAATTTTGTGAGTGGATGGCCTTATCAAGATATTTTCTTCTTTTTTGTCTCCTTTTATAGACATAATTTTCTATGATATAATGTGCAGCAGTTGATTGCCAGATACCAAGCGCACAACTTTTCTACCCACAACCAAGGGATCTACTTGCAACCAAGTATGTGTATAATTTAAGTCAATATTTACAAAATAAAATGTTACAACATTAATCATAATGTTCTTGTCAAAATGAAATGATATGTATTAAATTGTTATTTCAGAGAATTAACATTATTGAATACAAATTGTGAAACAGAACAGTGTGTGGAACTACAGAGTGTATTTTCACATCGTTTGGAAAAGGGGATATTGTATCCAGATGTTGGTACTGTTATAACATGTGATTTGAGGTAAACTTTTAGTAAATAACAAGTCTATTGATTTATGTTGATACAAGGGTTGTTCAAAAAGTAATAGGACTGCAGTTTTACTGTTCACAATGCACAATTTTACAAGAGAAAAACTTTGGAAGATATCCTCTATATACAGAGAAAAAGATCAATAAAATATGTTTACAAATAACAATTCTGTGACAATTTAAAATGACAAGGGATATGTGACCCAGGACCCGGTACACACATACAATATATGATGTACATGACCCGGGACCCGGTGCACACATACAATATATGATGTTCTTGATGTCGTAAAATAAAAAAAAAATGTCTGAAAGTATTCTCCTTAGTGCTCTACGTGTCTGAATCATGTAACTATGACCAGACCTCATTTGTGGAGATGAAGCGGTCACATTCTCGTTCCAATCTCAGAAAATATTGCTTGATAAGTTTGCTGCTCTCTGCTTTTCTTATTTATTTAGTAATTTCAACAGGACTTACGATGTTAATGAAAAAGCGATTTATAGTATAAATTTAGACCATCATTGTACGTTCTTTAAAGAATATGGTTTATATATGTAGGTATAATAACAATATTTATCAATTGAAAAGTACCTTAAAATTCCAATTTAACGCTCCCATCCTAATTAATGCCGCCAACCACTTTTGAAAATCTCATGTATAATTTAAACAAAGAAAATAAAAGAAACTCTCTTACTAGTTTGGCGATTTATGGTGTATCCACTATCATTCCATTTATGAAAAATATATGTATCTATGAATCAAAACTTAAACACTTTAAAGTTCACTAAAAACAGAGTGTAGTCAACTTGAAAACAGTAACTGTTAAAAAACACAAAAACGGTAAACATACCGTATTTACAGTACACACCCTACCAATAAAGCTTTGCACCTGGACAACTACACAGATCTGGAAGTGGGCCTGTTGACACCTCCTAAATTAGGAGAGTAGCATTGATTGTCGGCAAGATCAAAGGTGTCAACTGCAAGCAGGATCTCGGGGAATTTTTTGGAGGAAAATTAGAGAGAGCTCGTGGTGTAGATCAAAGGTATTATGGGTTGACAGAATGATGATGTGTTTGTGGATTTTTTTACATCATTTAAAGAGAGTGATTTTTTTTTTTTTTTTTTTTTTTTTTTTTTTTATTAAACGCCCCCCTTTTGAAAAATGTTCGGGAGTTTACAGTATCTTTTTCAACAAGAACAGGCTATTATTTATTAAAAGAAAATCAGGGAAAAAAATACTTATAATTACTGTTTATCATTATTATATTGATTTATTGATAACACTTATGTCTAGTTAAATAAAATAAAATAGTGTTTAAAACAAATATCACATATTTAATTATTTTTATGCCCCGCCATATAATGGCATATAGTGTTACCCTGTTCCGTCCTTCCGTCATTTTGTCATTCCGTCATCATCAGTTTCCGTTCATTATCTTATTAACGGTTGCACACATTCAACTCAAATTTGACATATGGATAAGTCACGAGAAAATACAGGTCAAGTTCGAATTTGGTCATGGTTCGATGATTTTTGGCAGAGTTATGCCCCTTTTACTTTGAAATTAATATGAAATTTTCAGTTTCCGTTCATTATCTTCCCGAGGGTACAACACATTCAACTCAAACTTATGGAAACGTCAAAGGAATGTGCAGGTCAAGTTCAAATTTGGTCATGGTTCAATGATTTTTGGCAGAGTTATGCCCCTTTCACTTTGAAAATAATAAGAAATTTTCAGTTTCCGTTTCTTATCTCCCCAACAGTATTACACATTCAACTCAAATTTGACATATGGATTCGCAATTGAATGCGCAGGCCAAGTTCGAATTTGGTTATGGTTCATTGATTTTTGGCAGAGTAATGCCCCTTTCTCTTTGAAAAAAATATGAAATTTACAGTTTCTGTTCATTATCTACCCAACAGTAGATTATCTATTCAACTCAAATTTGACATATGGTTATGTCAAAGGAATGAGCAGGTCAAGTTGAAATTTGGTCATGGTCGATGATTTTTTGGCAGAGTTATGTCCCTTTCAGTTTGAAAATAATATGAAATTTTCAGTTTCCGTTCATTATTTTCTCTAGGGTATTACACATTCAACTTAAATTTGACATATGGATACGTCAAAGAAATGCGGAGGTCAAGTTTGAATTTTGTCATGGTTTGATGATTTTTGGCAGAGTTATGCCCCTTTTACTTTGAAAAAAGGATATTTTCAGTTCCCATTCATTATTTCCCCAACAGTTGTACATATTCAACTCACATTTAAGATATGGATATGTCATAAGAATGCATTGGTCAATTTCGAATTTGGTCATGGTTTGATGATAGCTGACAGAGTTATCCCTCTTGAACTTTGAAAAAAAATCAGAAATTTTTAGTTTCTGTTCATTATCTCTCCAATGGTTGTACACATTCAACTCAAATTTAACATTTAAGTTTGAATTTGGTCGTGGTTCAATGATTTTGAACAAACTTATCTTTCCTGAATGTTGGAAAAATTTTGAATTTTCAGTTTCAGCACTCATACTTTTGTGGAAATGTATGTAGCCATTATTTTGGCTACAAATAATGCAATATGCAATTTACAAAAGGTTAAGACTGAATAATTTCAGTGCCTTCAACATTGTATAAAAATGATTTGTGTTAACATTGAAAAGTTTTAAGGGCTTTGAACTTAAAATGAAAGAAATAATTTTTGCAAACAAATTTGGAACTAAATATTATAACATCTGAAATTTTGGCTGCATGCGGGGGCATCCATGGCATGATGACACATTTCTAGTCTTAGAACTGAATCAGTAGACCTGATGCAGACATCAAACATGCCAGACAGTTCGCGGACTGTTTACCGTCGATCCTTTTGTAGCACTTTTTCAATTGACATCAATTTCCAGCTATCATCCACGCCCTTTCCTGTTTGTGATCTCGTATTTGCTGTCTTTGAATCGCTTGCACAAGCTGAAAACAAGTATCCTGATGGCCGGTTAATTGTACTGTGTTAATTCAATATTTTCATATGTATCTGAAGAAGTATCACCAATTTGTTGGCAAAATTTAACAACCACAAAAATTTTCAGTTTTTAACAAACGTTAAAGTTATGCCCACTCCTGTTTAAAACTTGATAATTTAGCTATTTTATATCTGAATGATGTCAAATTTGGACATAATGTCACTTAAATATAGTAATGTTGGGGGAATATATGGAAGAATAGAAAATTAGTTATACCCCCACAAACGAAGTTTAGGGGGGTATATAGGAGTCAGCTTGTCGGTCGGTATACATCATGTTTCCAGACGACAACTAGAGTTTGGAATGAGGTATTGTAATCAAACTTGATATATAGCAACGTCATGTGCAGACCCCGATTGGTATGGCATTTGGACCCCCTTTGGGGTCAAGGTTACCGTTACTAAACATAGAAAAATGGTTTCGGGACAATTACTAGAGTTAGGAATAAGATATTGTAATCAAACTTGGTGTGTAGCAAGCTTATATGAAGACCTCGGTAAGGATTGCAATTAATTGAAATGATTCTTTGTACACAGTTGATACTTCATTTACTATAGGCTGAGTTCTGTTTTGAACATTTTACGATCGCTGTACATATAAAAATAGTTTAAATTGCATGGAATTTGAAGATGCAAGACTCTTAGTCCTATTACTTTTTGAACCGCCTTGTATTCTAAGAAAAATATAATTGATGTTAAAAATTCAGGGTGTCCGTTTGATCCGAGACCTCTGGTCTTTACATGTGAAAATTCTGAAATGCACTTGTTTGACCTGTTATAAAATCAGCTTGTGTGTAATTTTTGACCTGTGATAATTTCCAATGGATGCATGGAAACTCTACTGTTTGTCAATCATTATGGCCAACACAAGAATTTTAAATTGACAAAGCAATTAGCCCGGCTTACAGGTACAGTATCCACATTAAAGAGGTTTAAGCCATATTACTGATGGGTACACTGGCGTTTTGCATCTGATAGAAGTAAAACTGAAAATTTTCTGCTAATCAATATACACGGCATATGATGAGTACATAATAACTTTCATTAATTGGTAAACAATGTTATGTTGGCGTGCCGATTTGTCACACTTTCGTATGAAGATTGATCTGCTGAAATTGTAAATTTACCGGTCAGTAGGAATGGACGTTTAAAGAATTTTTTGCAGGTGGCTAATTTTAGCCTACTTTATTGTTAATTATCGACGCCTTTCATTAAGTATTGTAAAATCTTCTATTTTCAATCCAAAATATTATGCAACTGTTGTGGTTATTATCCCCCGCCGAAAAGGCGGCGGGGGATATAGTAATAGTCTCCGTCCGTCCGACCTTCCGTCCGTCCGTCCTTTCGTCCGACATTTTTGTCCGGAGCATATCTCTAAATTTCTTTGGGTTATCAACTTGAAACTTCATAGGTGGATAGACTTCATTGAGGAGGAGTGCAGTGCACAAGAATGATAACTCTACCCTGCATAATTTTTGAGTTATTGCCCTTTGTTATTTTTCAAAATTGATTATTGTCCAGAGCGTAACTCAAAAAGCCTATGAGATATCAACATGAAACTTCATAGGTGCATAGATCTCACTCAGGAGGTGTGCAGTGCACAAGAATGATAACTCTACCTTTCATAATTTTTGAGTTATTGCCCTTTGTTATTTTTCATACTTAATTTTTCACCTGAGTGGAGCATAACTCAAAAAGTGTTTGAGATATCAACATGAAATGTCATAGGTGGATAGATCTTATTGAGGAGGAATGCTGTGCGCAAGAATGATAACTCTTCCCTATACAATTTTTGAGTTATTTCCCTTTGTTCTTTTTCATGCTATTTTGTCCTGAGCTTATCTCAAAAAGTATTTGGGGTATCAACTTGAAACTTCATAGCTGGATGGATCTCATTGAGGAGGAGTGCAGTGCACAAGAATGATAACTCTACCCTGCATAATTTGTTAGTTATTGCCCTTTGTTATTTTTCAAAATTAATTTTTGTCCAGAGCATAACTCAAAAAGCCTTTGAGATATCAACATGAAACTTCATAGGTGCATACATCTCACTCAGGAGGTGTGCAGTGCACAAAAATGATAACTCTACCTTTCATAATTTTTGAGTTATTGCCCTTTGTTATTTTTCATACCTAATTTTTCACCCGAGTGGAGCATAACTCAAAAGTGTTTGAGATGTCAACATGAAATGTCATAGGTGAGGAGGAATGCTGTGCACAAGAATGATAAATCTTCCCTATATAATTTTTGAGTTATTCCTCTTTGTTCTTTTTCATAATATTTTGTCCGGAGCTTATCTCAAAAAGTATTTAAGGTATTAACTTGAAACTTCATAGCTGGATGGATCTCATTGAGGAGGAATGCAGTGCACAAGAACGATAACTCTACCCTGCAAAATTGTTTAGTTATTGCCCTTTGTTATTTTTCAAGATTAATTTTTGTCCAGAGCATAACTCAAAAGGCCTTTGAGATATCATTATGAAACTTCATAGGTGCATAGATCTAACTCAGGAGGTGTGCAGTGCACAAGAATGATAACTCTACCTTTTATAATTTTTGAGTTATTGCCCTTTGTTATTTTTCATACTTAATTTTTCAATTCAATTTTTTTCTTAAAAGTATTTGAGGTATCAACTTGAAACTTCATAGGTGGATAGATTTTACTGAGGAGGGATGCAGCACACAAGAATGATAACCTACCCTGCATTATTTTTCAGTTATTGCCCTTTGTTATTTTCAGCCATCAGTATTCACATAGGTTTCAAATCTGTAATCACTATAGCCATCAGTTTTCATTACCAAAAGACCTCTTAAAATGGAGTTATTCTGCTCTACTACATATACATTCTTCCAATGAGCAAACACATTCGGCGGGGGATGGCCATGTTGACATGGCTCTTGTTTTCATTTATCAAGATTCTCAGCATATTTGAATTGTTGTCCATTTAGTGTTTATGTTACCGATATCGAACATTCTAGGATGTCCATGTGCTGTTGACTAGCAATTCATTATCGCTCAATTAAAAGCCTGTTTGACTTAGGACTTTCTGGCACTAAACATTCTTAACCAAAAGAACATTCAGAGGAGCTTGGTTAGAACAATTTAGATAGTTGGAATTGAATGTTGTTGATGGACAATGTAAATTATTTTGTACATGTCTTGTGAAGCAAATCAGAACACTTATGCAAATGGGGTTGCACAAATTAACAGCATAGTGCAATTGATAGACTTCAAAACAAAAATAGAGATCACTTGGAGTTAGCAAATGCTAGAATATGCTTATCAATTCTAAAATTCAAGAAGCTTAACAAACAACACAAATCACAGCCTCAAAGGTCTGACTGCGTTGAATATGTCTTAATTTGTTACAACAAACAAAAACAATTGCATAATTTTTCCCATGAAATATATTTTATACATGTGTTTGCTAAATAAAAAACTGTATAAATTCAGATCAAAATACATGTATGCTGACCCTTGAATATTTGAGTTTGATCCTTAAAGATTTTGTGTGGCTGATCATTGACCGTTTAGTTTCAGAGACTAAAGAACACCCTGTAATTGAAGAAAATCATTAATGGTAAACCATTTACATAAGTTATTTTGTTATCTTTTAAACAAATTTTAATAATCAAACATTTTACATTTGGAGCTTTGGTTTCAGTCCTGTAACTGAGGAGAGTGAGCAGAAGTATGGATGCTATTATTATAGTGTACATACTGGAGAGACCAGCAGTGAACAGAGTGAAGTCATTAAATATCTTGTTTGTTTCCTCACTGACCATGAACAAGCCCTTGATCTGTATCCTTTTAAAAAAAAGTTTTGGGTAATGCTTATGTTGAAAACACTTAAGCTCAAAAATTTGAATTTATTTAGCTGGAAATGATCCAGCATCTCGGTGGGTTTTTACCGCCTCCGTGGTCAAGTGGTTAGAGTCGATGACTTCTAATCTAGTTACCTCTCTGGCGTGGGTTCAATCCCCAGGAGATGCTTTGGTAGTTTAGAACGGAGGAAGGTAGTCTAGTACTGGTGTAACTCTCCAGGAACGATGGTTAGGAAACTTAGTAACCCGCCTATATGACTGAAATACTGTTGGGAAAAGGCATAAAATGAAACAAACAAACAAACAAATTATGTCCCCGGGCAAACAGTAATTGAACCGTATGTCTGTATGAGGTTAACCTAAAACAGCAATTTCCTAAGTTCTACCTGTACCATCATGTATATCAAAGTCAGACTGACCTTGACTTGTGTCATTGTCATTTATTTATGGCAAGGTTACAAACTTGTACAAAACAACAAGATGGACTAGACCCAACTATTAAAATTAAAAACATTAGAAACTTTTAACTTTCTTTTTATAGATTTGTTTAAGGTATGACCCACCTAATGCATTGCTACACTGTAGAACTACTGTCAACTGCATTGAAATTGAGGTGCATGGGTTCAAGCCCCAGAAGAGGCAACTTTTTTTTTTCTTTCTTTTTTTTCTTTGAACATTATTTATGTGTTTCTCGGATCACTCTAAGAAAAAAGCATTTAATTATACCCCTGCACAATGAAGATGTAAGGGGGGTATACTGATCCATATTGATTTTGAGGTCACTGGGTCAAAGGTCAAGGTCATAGGGGCCTTGACTAAAAAAAGCTTGTCTGCCCAATAACTTAAGATTCTTTTGACCCACAGTCTTCATAATATTTTGTATTGAGATTGGTCTTGATTTGTAGATGACTCCTATTGATTTTGAGGTCATCGGGTCAAAGGTCAAAGTCACAGGGGCCTTTACTAAAAAAAGCTTGTCTGCCCAATTACTTAAGAATACTTTGACCCACAGTCTTCATATTTGGCATGTGCTTCCCCACTTCATTCATGTCCGGACTGTAACTTTGTCATACATTTAGGGATTTTGAAATAGCTTGGCACAAATGTCTACCATATCAAGACGATGTGTCACGTTCAAGAATTACGTCCCTACCTCAAAGGTCAAGATCACACTTACATTTTAAAGTTTCACATTATCACAAATAGAGTTAATAGATACACACATTCATGTCCGGACTAGGGCTGGGTATTGATCAGAAATTTCCAATATGATACGTATTGCGATACAGACCAATGATACACAATACGTATTGACGATACAGTACAATAATGTTTCATTGTTAGGATTTATTTATTAAAAGTAGTATTTAATTTCATATATGCCCTGGTGAAATATTACTGATTTTGTCTTATATCTGAAAATTTGACTTTATTAATGATGTGATATAATATATAGCAGGTGCATAGGAACCTTAATTACTACTTGTATCATAGTTTGGGGACCTTTCTGTTGAAAAAGTGTCAGAGTTCAATTGTATACATATACATGCACAGTGCGTTAACTGGAGTGCAGGTATCAGTTACCCGCACTCCAGAGCATGCCCGTTTATAAGTTCATTTTTGCTGGGGTTTACTTATTATGACGGCAGAGAAAGGAAAGGCAGCAAAAATATTATATTCAGATGCTCTTTCATTGGTTATTTTTTTCTGGGGTTTCATATTGTGACAACAGGGAACGTGTTGTTATGTTTGACTATGATACAAAAGAGAAAGAATACCAAAACACATTATTTAAATTTTCATTTTTTGGCTGTAACTGGCTGTAACTTTGCTTTTATTGAATGGATTGACTTCATATTATAACAGTACATTCTTAAGGACTAAAAAAAGCTTGTCTGCCCAATAACTTAAGATTCTTTTGACCCACAGTCTTCATATTTTGTATTGAGATTGGTCTTGATTTTTAGATGACTCCTATTGATTTTGAGGTCATCGGGTCAAAGGTCAAAGTCACAGGGGCCTTTACTAAAAAAAGCTTGTCTGCCAATTACTTAAGAATGCTTTGACCCACAGTCTTCATATTTGGCATGTGCTTCCCCACTTCATTCATGTCCGGACTGTAACTTTGTCATACATTTAGGGATTTTGAAATAGCTTGGCACAAATGTCTACCATATCAAGACGATGTGTCACGTTCAAGAATTACGTCCCTACCTCAAAGGCCAAGATCACACTTACATTTTAAAGTTTTCACATTATCACAAAATAGAGTTAATAGATACACACATTCATGTCCGGACTAGGGCTGGGTATTGATCAGAAATTTTCAATATGATACGTATTGCGATACAGACCAATGATACACAATACGTATTGACGATACAGTACAATAATGTTTCATTGTTAGGATTTATTTATTAAAAGTAGTATTTAATTTCATATATGCCCTGGTGAAAAATATTTACTGATTTTGTCTTATATCTGAAAATTTGACTTTATTAATGATGTGATATATATATAGCAGGTGCATAGGAACCTTAATTACTACTTGTATCATAGTTTGGGGACCTTTCTGTTGAAAAAGTGTCAGAGTTCAATTTGTATACATATACATGCACAGTGCGTTAACTGGAGTGCAGGTATCAGTTACCCGCACTCCAGAGCATGCCCGTTTATAAGTTCATTTTTGCTGGGGTTTACTTATTATGACGGCAGAGAAAGGAAAGGCAGCAAAAATATTATATTCAGATGCTCTTTCATTGGTTATTTTTTTCTGGGGTTTTCATATTGTGACAACAGGGAACGTGTTGTTATGTTTGACTATGATACAAAAGAGAAAGAATACCAAAACACATTATTTAAATTTTCATTTTTTGGCTGTAACTGGCTGTAACTTTGCTTTTATTGAATGGATTGACTTCATATTATAACAGTACATTCTTAAGGACAAGACCTTCATGTTTATAAAACTCAAATTGACTTGGGCTCCTTAATGACCTTGACCTTGAGGGTTAAATTACTGAATTTTCTCAGATTTGCGCATTAAATGACCATATATATTTATTGGTGTGTATGTGTATATATATATATATACAAGAAAATATTTCTTTTTTTCTTCTTCTGTAATACACATGCGGATATATATGGAAATGATTCATACTTTGACAAAACTAATTTGACAAGACAGATCATTAAAATTTATAAAAAGGAAACGTTAAGATTTGTTCAAACATTACCTTGTTTGCTTTTAGAAAAAGTAAAAAGTCGAGCATTGCCCCTGCGCGGCGGTGGCTCTTGTAATATCTTTAAATTTATTTACTATAATATTTCTTAAACCAGAACAGATATTTATTTGAAACTTAAAATTTATATGAATGGTTACAAGCAAGCTCAGATGACAAAAATTGAAAAATTCTACAATTCCATTGAATAATGACACAAGTTATGCCCCTTTTAGGCTTAAAAATTGTTCTGATATAACCATTAATACTAAAATGTTTCTGAAACTAGAACAGATATTCACTTGAAACTATATAATATATGGAGAGTCATAAGTAAGCTCAGTATGCAAAGTTTTTCCACTCTTAATTACATTTTGACATAATTATGCTATTTTCTTAACTTCACTGCTTTTGTTTGTTTTAGTACATTGTGAAAATGAAAGGTTCTTTGTAACTGTGTAACCGGAGCTTATCTCAAAAAGAACTTGAAACTTCATAGGTGGATAAATCTCATTGAGGAGGATTGCAGCACACAAGAATGATAACCTACCCTGCATTATTTTTCAGTTATTGCCCTTTGTTTTTTTCAGCCATCAGTGATTATACTGTTATATAATATTAATGCGATGGCATAGCATTTTTTCACAAATGCATTCTTGTTTAGGAATATTCACCTATGTGAATACATAGGTTTCAAATCTGTAATCACTTCAGCCATCAGTTTTCATTACCAAAAGACCTCTTAAAATTGAATTTTTCTGCTCTACTACATATACATTCTTCCAATGAGCAAACACATTCGGTGGGGGATGGCCATGTTAACATTGCTCTTGTGTTTAATTGAAAAGATAGTATTTAAAAAAAAGTTATTGTACCTGCATTTCAAAGTTTCATACAGCTATATTATACAGTTAATACCTATTTTTTGTCAATAAAAAATTCTTTTATTTTTGAATAAATTATTGCACTTTGAATTAGACACATCGTTAGACACATCTGCATATGTGTCTAATGATTTGACATGCTGAAATATGACCTTGACCGCCAAATTCACTAGCTACTACTGCATTATGGCAAAGTTCAATTGTATAGTAACAAAAAAAAACCATCTACTTTTGTTATATTAATGCGATGGCATAGCATTTTTTCACAAATGCATTCTTGTTTAGGAATCTATGTCTGAGGTTGACATTGCATATGCTGGTATTTTACCAGAAAATCAAGTCAAGTTCTAATTTGGTCATGGTCATATGTTTTGGGCTGCTTGAACTTGGAAAGATGTAAAAATTCACAATTTCTAATCATTATCTCGGCTACAAATATGCAGTATTCAATTTGCAAAATGTTAACACTGAATAGTTTCAGGGCCTTGAACTTTGTATAAAAAAAGGTTTAAAAGAGCTTAAAATGAAAAAAAAAATGGTTTGTGCAAACAAATTTTGAACTAAATATTATTATTTAACATTTGTAATCTTGGCTGCATGTGGGGGCATTCTTGGCATAACAACACATTTCTAGTTGAAATTTTTTTACTGACAAGAATCTGAGCCAGGGGCATTTGTGTTTAACAAACACATTCTTGTTTCTTTTGGACTGGCTGGTATACAGATCTGTTCTCAGATTTTAGAAAATTGTATGCAGTATTCCCACTCACATTTAAATGTAGAGGTAAATGTACCCCCCTGTCATTGAAAATTGGGGGTACATTTCAAAATCTGGGGGTACACAGAAGTTAAAATGTGTTTTTGTTTGTAAGAACATTTTTGTCAACATGATATTAGTGAACAGCTGTTTCACTTAGTATTACTACCCACTAACACAGACACAAACTCATCACTTAGGGTAGCAATATAACAGATATTACAATCACTGATCTTTTGTTTAGTCCATACACTTATTACCAATTATATCCAAAATTATGTACATTTATTTCAAAAGGTCAATTGTTTATATTTTTATTTCATATGACATTTATAAAGCTCACAATTGTAGGTAATTGTTAAAAAAGTCGTGACATAATTACGACAGTACAAGTAACATCAAGACGTGGCTAAAATATTTACAAATCAGACAGAGATGACTTTTGAAAAGTAATTGAGACCGGGTTTAGACTGTTCCTAACAATTGGTAGATGGCAACAACATTTAGTTGATATGCAGATTAGACTACCCCAAACATTCATTCTAATGATTTTACCAAAGGGACCCAGCACAGTGTTTGGATAGTGTAAAAAAAGTATTTCTAGAAAAAAATATAGTTTATATATAATGTCTATATATTACATATAAACAATATATTTTTTTTATGCCCCCGCCATGTAATGGCCGGGGCATAATTATAGTGTTACCCTCTTCCGTCCTTCCGTCATTCTGTCATTCCGTCATCATCAGTTTCCATTCATTATCTTAAGAACGGTTGGACACATTCAACTCAAATTTGACATATGGATATGTCATGAGAAAATACAGGTCAAGTTCGAATTTGGTCATGGTTCGATGATTTTTGGCAGAGTTATGCCCCTTTTACTTTGAAAATAATATGAAATTTTCAGTTTCCGTTCATTATCTCCCCAACGGTACAACACATTCAACTCAAACTTGACATATGGATATGTCATGAGAAAATACAGGTCAAGTTCGAATTTGGTTATGGTTCGATGATTTTTGGCAGAGTTATGCCCCTTTTACTTTGAAAATAATATGAAATTTTCAGTTTCCGTTCATTATCTCCCCAACGGTACAACACATTCAACTTAAACTTGACATATGGATATGTCATGAGAAAGTACAGGTCAAGTTCGAATTTGGTCATGGTTTGATGATTTTTGGCAGAGTTATGCCCCTTTTACTTTGAAAATAATATGAAATTTTCAGTTTCCGTTCATTATCTCCCCAAGGGTACAACACATTCAACTCAAACTTGACATATGGATGCGTCAAAGGAATGCGCAGGTCAAGTTCAAATTTGGTCATGGTTCAATGATCTTTGGCAGAGTTATGCCCCTTTCACTTTGAAAGTAATATGAAATTTTCAGTTTCCGTTTATTATCTCCCCAATGGTACAACACATTCAACTCAAATTTGACATATGGATATGTTTTTGGAATGCCCAGGCCAAGTTCGAATTTGGTCATGGTTCAATGATTTTTGGCAGAGTAATGCCCCTTTCACTTTGAAAATAATATGAAATTTACAGTTTCTGATCATTATCTACCCAACAGTGTTACATATTCAACTTTAATTTGACATATGGATATGTCAAACGAATGGGCAGGTCAAGTTGGAATTTGGTCATGGTTTGATGATTTTTTGGCAGAGTTATGTCCCTTTCACTTTGAAAATAATATAGATACATCTTAGGAATAAGCAGTTTAAGTTTGAATTTGGTCATGGTTTAATGATTTTAGACAAACTTATCTTTCCTGAATGTTGGAAAAAGTTTGAACTTTCAGTTTCAGCACTCATTCTTTTAGCCATTATTTTGGCTACAAATATGCAATATGCTATTTCTAAAAGGTTAAGACTGAATAATTTCAGTGCCTTGAACATTGTATGGAAATTGTTTGTGTTAACATTGAAAAGTTTTAAGGGCTTTGAACTTAAAATGAAAAAAATAATTAATGCACCATCTGAAATTTTGGCTGCATGCGGGGGCATCCGTGACATGATAACACATTTCTAGTCTAGAATTACTTTCTTACACTATTCCAACACTGTGCTGGGTCCCTTATAATGGATTTTACTATGCGTGCTTACAATTTTTATGTGTGCATGTAGAATTTGGTGCGTGAATGGGTATGCTAACATTTTAACTATAATACATATCCAATGTATCAGTGTACATCTACATAAACATACCTATATAGCAAAATTACCTATAACTATTACCTCTTGACAACTTTGTCAGGAAATCCAGTCTTTGGCTCAGTGATCGTAAATGTTCATTTACTTTAAATCTCGAACATATCTTTTGCAATTTTGTAAGATACTTTTGCATCTTGCATCTACATATGGAATACATCCACAACTTTTTTTTGTTAATGTATTAAAAAAGCAAACCTTGTGAAAAAAGTATTCTTGTTTCATTATCAACTTTACAATTGCTCAGATTTAGAACAGATTTGGATGAATACTGTTCGGACATTCTTAAACCATTAAAAACCCTGATTGTGTATGATTTGAGTGAGATTCCATCATCACTAGTACAGAGCATGGAGAACTGGTATACAGTGACAGTAAACTATATCATAAGATGTAAACAGGCATTAGGAGAAAGTCTGAAGTTTCTTATATATGCTGTAAGTGTTTTATGTCTGCTTGATGTTAGTTATGATAAGAGTGAAAGATAATTTTACTTTGATGAAAATTAGCTGGTGTTAGTTTACTGGAATAAATATGCATAACAGATTTTCTTGTATAAGTAAAAACGCTACTGAAAAGTTTCAACAATCATTTTTTTTTACATGCTTCAGGTTTGTGCACCACCTAATGCAATTGTGATATCATCTTAAAAACAATATTATTTAAAAACCAGCTGATGTATAAGTAACTAAAGAACTTATTGTGTAAGGTATAATATTTTCTTGTGTTTATTACTATTGTTGTGATAAATATTTTAGGCACTTCATGATTACAAGTTGGTTTTGACTGGTGGGACAGCTGATCTTCAGGCTGATATACAAAGGTATTTGTTAATCTTTTGTCACGCCAACTTGTGATGAGCTTCATATAGTTATCATAATGGCTGATTGGTGTGTGTATATGCATCCACACTGTGTGGTGTATGTTCATGTATGGGCATCCATAGTATGTTGTGTATGGCCATCCATAATATTTGGTGTATGTACATCAATAGTGTGTGGTGTATGTGCATCCATAGTGTGTGGTGTATGTTCATCCATAGTGTGTGGTGTATGTACATTCATAATGTTTGTTGTATGTACATCAATAGTGTGTGGTGTATGGGCATCCATAGTGTGTGGTGTATGTTCATCAATAGTGTGTGGTGTATGGGCATCCATAGTGTGTGGTGTATGTTCATCCATAGTGTGTGGTGTATGTACATCAATAGTGTGTGGTGTATGTGCATCCATAGTATGTGGTGTATGTGCATTCATAATGTTTGTTGTATGTACAACAATAGTGTGTGGTGTATGGGCATCCATAGTGTGTGGTGTATGTACATCAATAGTGTGTGGTGTATGTTTTTTTTTTTTTTGTTTTTTTTTATTGTCCTCGTCGTCAAATGATGCTGAAGGGTCGAGGGCATCCCAAACAGCATCTTACAATGTCATTTCATGTATAATTTTAAACTGTATACAATGACAAGAAACAATAATATAAGATACATGTATATAGGAAAGTTACTTAATAGCTATAATATTAAACAAAAACAAAACAAAAAAAATCCACAATAACTTGCCCACCTTTGTTACATGAACCATTGGTAGAATTTTCTTTGCTAAAAATTTAAATATAAACTTAATCTGAGGCGTCCTGAAAAATATTTTTGACCAGTTTCCATTCTTTTTCAAAATCTGATAATGTATTTCTTTTGAAAGCTATATTTCTGTTTTAATTGTATTGAAATTGAAGAAAAATTTGAGTCTAGGGAATGTCAAAGTTCCGTTTAAAAATCTACTTTGAAAAATGAAGTGTATGTTCATCCATAGTGTGTGGTGTATGTGCATTCATAATGTTTGTTGTATGTAAATCAATAGTGTGTGGTGTATGTTCATCCATAGTGTGTGGTGTATGTACATCAATAGTGTGTGGTGTATGTACATCAATAGTGTGTGGTGTATGGGCATCCATAGTGTGTGGTGTATGTGCATTCAAAATGTTTGTTGTATGTACATCAATAGTGTGTGGTGTATGTTAATCCATAGTGTGTGGTGTATGTTAATCCATAGTGTGTGGTGTATGTTAATCCATAGTGTGTGGTGTATGTTCATCCATAGTGTGTGGTATATGTTCATCCATAGTGTGTGGTGTATGTGCATTCATAATGTTTGTTGTATGTACATCAATAGTGTGTGGTGTATGTACATCAATAGTGTGTGGTGTATGTACATCCATAGTGTGTGGTGTATGTGCATTCGTAATGTTTGTTGTATGTACATCAATAGTGTGTGGTGTATGTACATCAATAGTGTGTGGTGTATGTACATCCATAGTGTGTGGTGTATGTGCATTCATAATGTTTGTTGTATGTACATCAATAGTGTGTGGTGTATGTTAATCCATAGTGTGTGGTGTATGTTCATCCATAGTGTGTGGTGTATGTGCATTAATAATGTTTGTTGTATGTACATCAATAGTGTGTGGTGTATGTACATCAATAGTGTGTGGTGTATGTACATCCATAGTGTGTGGTGTATGTGCATTCATAATGTTTGTTGTATGTACATCAATAGTGTGTGGTGTATGTTCATCCATAGTGTGTGGTGTATGTGCATTCATAATGTTTGTTGTATGTACATCAATAGTGTGTGGTGTATGTGCATCCATAGTATGTGGTGTATGTGCATCCATAGTATGTGGTCTATGTGTATTCATAGTATGTGGTGCATGTTCATCCCTAATATGATGTATGTGCATTCATAGTATGTGGTGTATGTGCATCCATAGAATGTGGTCTATGTGTATTCATAGTATGTGGTGCATGTTCATCCCTAATATGTGGTCTATGTGCATTCATATTATATGATGTATGTGCATTCATAGTATGTGGTGTATGTGCATCCATAGTATGTGGTCTATGTGTATTCATAGTATGTGGTGCATGTTCATCCCTAATATGTGGTCTATGTGCATTCATATTATATGATGTATGTGCATTCATAGTATGTGGTGTATGTGCATCCATAGTATGTGGTCTATGTGTATTCATAGTATGTGGTGCATGTTCATCCCTAATATGTGGTCTTTGTGCATTCATAGTGTGTGGGGTATGTGCATTCATAGTGTGTGGTGTATTTGCATCCGTTGTATGTGATGTATGTGCATAACTTTTGAACTTCTGAAATTTTTAGCTCACTTGTCACAAAGTGACAAGGTGAGCTTTTGTAATAATTCATCTGGCGTCTGTCCGGCGTATGTCCGTCTTTAAACGACATCTCCTCATAAACCGCTGAGCCAATTTCATCGAAACTTTATAGGAATGTTCCTGTGATTGTCACCTTTGAAAATTGTTCAAAGAAAAAAAAGGAACTCTGGTTGCCATGGCAATGGAAAGAAAAAACTTAAAAAATCTTCTTTTAAAAAACCCAAAGCGCTAGTGCTTAGATATTTGGCATGAAACATCTCCTAGCAAGTGTCTACAAAGTTTATTCTAATAAAAGCCCTGGGGTCAAAATTGGCCCGCCCCGGGAGGTTATTGATTTTCCTTATATGTACAGTCGAGACTGTCATATGCAACTTTCCAAGGGATCTTCAGAAAAAGGTCACATATGACAGGGAGTCTCTAAATACAGTCTCAAAGAAAATTAAATTTAAATACCATCTATCTGTCTATATACCATTGTGACTTAACATACATAACTGTGTGAAGGAATAATATTTAACCAATTGCAAATAAACATGGGTGTTCGTAAGTTTTTTTATGTAAATAAAATAAGAATCCATGTAAAACAAATATATATTAGCATATATTTCACATAAAATTTAATTTTATTTTTTGTATTAAGATTTAAATTGAATCTTTATGGTATAAATTAACTGGAATTTGATGCATTCAAATCCATACTTGTAAAAGTTAAACATATCCATATCCAAATTTTTTTTCTGGTTTGGTATCAATATTTTTTCCATATTAATTATGCAGCCATAGAAAGGTAAATCGAAAATAATGCTGCCTAAAATATCTTCCGTTGGCACTCTATAATTAATTTAAAAAAATCTGACACAAGCTTAATCCAGTTTACTCAGGTCATTATGTGCATTACACACACATTGATAGCATCATGCTTCCCATGAACAGACGCTTAGTGATGTCACTAGATACCTGTATACATGTTAACTGTGTAATTGAGACAGAGGTGTGTAGGATTTGTTTGCTACTGGATTATAATTGGACTTAATTATTTTAGCCCTCTGGGTGTTAAAATAGGTATTATTTATCTGATTAACGGACAATTAAAAGTAGTGAAAGTCGTTTAAATCAGACAAAACATTGCATTGGGACCAGACAATTAGGGTCGCTTGTCACATATGACAGGGAGTTGTTTAATTCAGACCATTTATATAGGAAAATACGTTGGGAGTACTGAAACAAGGTCGGATAAGACAGGGAGTCATTTAAATCAGGGGATCGCTAAGGCAGTCTCGACTGTATATAGAAAAACTTTAAAAAATCTTCTTTTAAAAAACCCAAATAGCTAGAGCTTTGATATTAAGCATGAAACATCTTCTAGGGAGTGTCTACCAAGTTTGTTCAAATAAAAGCTCTGGGGTCAAAATTGGCCCCGGGGGGGGGGGGGGGGGTCATTGATTTTCCTTGTATGTATATACTGTAACCAAACTTTAGGTAGCATTGGACAGGTAAATCTGGCAAACAAAGTCCTGCATGAAAATAACATTCAGCAGGCTCAAAATAAACACATAAGAATTGTGCTTATCAGACTGATTTATGGTAACCTGAAAATGCAATTAACATTTACAACAAATTAGTAGCACTTGTATTCATTACTGATAGAAAGAAAATGAAGACTTTGTTTTATTCCAAAATAAAATAACTTTCCATAATTCATACACTAAAAAAAACTGTCACACCCCTCCCTAGTTTGAAGTCTCCTAACTCAAAAAAACTGACACAAGCATCATAACACATTAAAATAAAATAAAACTAAAATCTAAAAAAAAAAACACATCTATTAATGAACAAATTTTATCAGTGGTTACATTTTTAGCTCACCTGACCACGAAGTGGTCAAGGTGAGATATAGTGATGGGTCTTTGTCTGGCGTCCTGCATTGTGCGTCGTTCGTCGTCAACAATTAGGAAGGTTGTTTTGATGATTTCTAGGCCAAGTTCGAAGATGGGTCATCTCGGGTCAAAAACTAGGTCACAGGAGCTAAAAATAGAAAAAGCTTGTTAACACTCTTGTGGCTGCAGTTTTGATCCAAATTTCCTGGAAATCGGTCAGGAAGGTTGTTTTGATGATTTCTAGATCAAGTTCAAATATGTGTCATCTTGTCAAAAACTAGGTCACAGGAGCTAAAAATAGAAATATCTTGTTAACACTCAAGTGGCTGCAGATTTGATTTAAATATTTTTGAAAATTGTTAGGAAGGTTGTTTTGATGATTTCTAGGTCAAGTTGAAATAGGGATTGTCTCCGGTCAAAAACTAGGTCACAGGGACTAAAAATAGAAAAATTTTATTAACACCCTAGTGGCTGCAGTTTTTATCAAAGTATCCTCGCAATTGGTCAGGAAGGTTGTTTTAACAATTTCTTGGTCACTTTTGAATATGGGTCATCTCCAGTCAAAAACTAGGTCACAGGAGCTAAAAATAGAAAAATCTTGTTAACACTCTAGTGACTTCAGTTTTGATCCAAATATTTTGGAAATTTGTCAGGAAGATTGTTTTCATGATTTCTAGGTCAAGTGTGAATATGGGTCGTTTCTGGTCAAAAACTAGGTCGCAGGGGCTAAAAATAGAAAAATCTTGTTAACACTTGTGG